GTTCCTCTGGTTCCTCTGGTTCCTCTGGTTCCTCTGGTTCCTCTGGTTCCTCTGGTTCCTCTGGTTCCTCTGGTTCCTCTGGTTCCTCTGGTTCCTCTGGTTCCTCTGGTTCTGAGGACAGTTCTACTGGGTCTGAAGGAGCCGCTCCAGTTACCCTGTAGTCGTACGTGGCCTCTGGGTTCTCGTCACAGGCGATGACCTCAGGAGCCATCCAGTACGGAGTACCGATGAAGGTGTTCCTGCGGCCCACGGTCCTGTCCAGCTGGGCCGACACTCCAAAGTCCACTGGATGACAGAAGAAGACGGAGACAAGGACGCTGTCTGACGGTGCTGTTTGTCTGGGACTGTTCTAGAACTTGGTGTGTGTGTGTGTGTGTGTGTGTGTGTGTGTGTGTGTGTGTGTCATACCCAGTTTGACTTCAGCGTTTTCTGTCAGCAAAACATTCTGTCCCTTAATGTCTCTGTGTATCACATGATGGGAGTGAAGATGGGAAAGACCCTGGAGGACACACACACACACACACACACACACACACACACACACACACACACACACAGTCAGATGACCGCTGCCTCCAGTCTCTATTTTTCTAAAGAATGTCTGAAAAACAAGAGTTTATTTTGGTCTCATTTTGTTCTGCTGCTCATTCAGAACCTGGTTCTAGGTCTGGTACCAGCGACACGTTTGAAGATGTACCAGTGAGGATCTGTGTGTGTGTGTGTGTGTGTGTGTGTGTGTGTGTGCTGAAACAATAAGGAGACAGTCTGTCAGACAGAAGCAGAGGAAACACTGGCGTCAACCCAGAGGTTCAGGGTTAAAGACTGAAGGAAAGGTCTCTGACAACCAGGACCAGAACCAGTACTGGTCCAGAACCAGTACTGGTCCAGAAGCAGTACTGGACCAGAACCAGTACTGGACCAGAACCAGTACTGGTCCAGGCCCAGAACCAGTACAGATTAATCAGATTGTCATGATTAATCCAGAATAATCCAGGTGGTCAAGCTGGAGCTCACCCTCAGAACCTCTCTGCAGACGTAGGCGATCCAGTCCTCCTTCAGACAGTTGCCCTTGGTCCTCTTGACCAGGTCTGTGACGGAGCCGGCGCCACAGTACTCCATCACCAACTGTGAGCAGACACACACACACACGCTGCCTCTTTATTTGTTATCATGAAGAGAGAGAGAGAGAGAGAGAGAGAGAGAGAGAGAGAGGGAGTGGTGGTCCGACCCAGAGCTGGTGGTCCTGTCCAGCAGGAACCTTCTTGATAAAAGCCCCGTAGTAGGTGGCGATGTTTCTGTGGTGGGAGTAGCTCTTCAACATGTTGATCTCCAGCTTGATCTCCTCCTCCTCCTCCTGAACACACACACACAGGTTGTTGTTGGTGGGTGAGGGGTGGGGGGGGGGTCATAGGGTCACTAACGGCAACAGCACAGACAGCTCCTCCAATCAGACTGCAGTGTGACCTCACATGACTTTTCACCCAAATAAGGGACCTGAAAAGTCTGGACCTCAGGAGCTGAGGAGAGTTCTGACCGACAGCTTCACTGACCGACAGCTTCACTGACCGACAGCTTGACTGACCGTCAGCTTCACTGACCGACAGCTTGACTGACCGACAGCTTCACTGACCGACAGCTTCACTGACCGACAGCTTGACTGACCGACAGCTTCACTGACCGACAGCTTGACTGACCGACAGCTTCACTGACCGACAGCTTCACTGACCGACAGCTTCACTGACCGACAGCTTGACTGACCGACAGCTTCACTGACCGACAGCTTCACTGACCGACCACTGACCGTCAGCTTCACTGACCGTCAGCTTGACCGACCGTCAGCTTGACTGACCGTCAGCTTGGCCGACCGTCAGCTTGACCGACCACCACTGAATCGTTTCAGTGATTCCATTATTAAGTTCTTCATTAGAAAATGTCAGGAGGAAAAAGCAGACAAAAACATTGAGTTCAACAGAAATATTCATTCCATCAGTTCTCAGCCAGAGCTTTTATTTTGAAAGGACAACATCTAGTCCAACAACAACAACACCTGGAGAATGACCCCCCCAACATCACCGTAACAACCACTGAGAGCAAGGCTACACCAGCTGAGACCAGGTGAACTTTTACCTCCGTGACCTCCATGACCTTGATAGCTGCCAGCTGCCCTGTCTTGACATGACGACCCTGCAGGGGGAGACAAAGAACCAGTGAACGTCACACCTTAAACAGTTGTGACTGTTGTGGATTTACAGTGACCAGGTGTGACCAGGTGTGACCAGGTGTGACCAGGTGTGACCAGGTGTGTTCATGGTCAGAATATGAGCGGACAATAAACAAACTGCGACTGTGTCGTTAATTCAGGCCTGGAGGGGGCGACGGTCTCCACTTTCATTGTCTCAGTCAGTGTGTGTGTGTGTGTGTGTGTGTGTGTGTGTGTGTGCTCAAAGAGATAAAGGTTAAATGTTTCACTTTTGTTCCTGCTGTAATAAAGTTCCAGGAACAAAAATATATTGTTTTTCTCCAGAATGTTGCTCATAGGATGGAGGTCCCACAGGCCGGGGGGGTGGGGGGTGGGGGGGAACCTAGGACTGAATCAAGTATTTCTACATCACGATTTCTTCACTTTCACTGAGTTTGAACCAACACAGACCAATGAGAGCAGAGGGGACACAAGGTGTGTGTGTGTGTGTGTGTGTGTGTGAGTCCATGGAACGACAGGACTGAGAAGGAACACTGGGTTCTGTTGTACACATCACTGCTGCAGAACAGAGGACGGGGGGCGGGGGGAGGGGGGGGTACATTCACGAAGTACATCTCCCATAATGCAAGAAAATCAGGCCCTTGAGTGGGTGAGTTCCAGAGGGTGTAGAGGAGAGGAGGGGGAGGAGAGGGGAGGGGGGAGGGTGTGTGTCAGATTAAATATCATCATCATAGTCCTAATCCCAATCCTAATCTGTGCCACAACTAGAACTCAGCTCTAATTCAGATTCTTAAAATCAAATTCTGAGAACTTCAACCCCCTCACCCCCCACACAACAGGACTTTTTATCAGTAGCTCAGAGATGTCTGTCTTTCTCTTATCTCTTTCTCGTAGATTGTTCTCCTCCCTCTCCCTCTTCCTTCCTCTCTCTCTCTCTCTCTCTCTCTCTCTCCCCTGTGTGTGTGTGTGTGTGGTCAGCAGATTAGCCAACATGACTCAGATCAGAATCATATGTGAAGTGATGTCATAAAAAGTCAGTCAGACAGACAGTCAGTCAGTCACTCAGTCAGTCAGTCTTCATTCACACTTCTCTTCCTCTGACCACAGCATCAGCAAAGATGATTACAACTTACACACACACACACACAAACACACTCTCTCTCTCTCTCCCCTGTGTGTGTGTGTGTCAGGGCGTTTCCCTGTTAAAGGAACTTTCCCTTCCTGTCCTTCGAGCCACTGTTGTGGAGACACTGTGTGTGTGTGTGTGTGGGGTCAGCAGATTAGCCAACATCACTCAGATCAGAATCATATGTGAAGTGATGTCATAAAAAGTCAGTCAGACAGTCCGTCAGTCAGACAGCCAGTCAGTCAGACAGCCAGTCAGTCAGTCATTCGGTCAGACAGACAGACAGTCAGACAGACAGTCAGTCAGACAGACGGTCAGTCAGTCAGTCTGTCAGACAGTCAGTCAGACGGTCTGACAGTCAGTCAGACGGTCAGACAGACAGACAGACAGTCAGACAGTCAGCCAGTCAGCCAGTCAGTCAGCCAGTCAGCCAGTCAGCCAGTCAGTCAGTCATTCGGTCAGACAGACAGACAGTCAGTCACTCAAACAGTCAGTCAGACAGACGGTCAGTCAGTCAGGCAGTCAGTCAGTCAGACAGACAGTCAGTCAGACAGACGGTCAGTCAGTCAGTCATTCGGTCAGACAGACAGTCAGACAGTCAGTCAGCCAGTCAGCCAGTCAGCCAGTCAGCCAGTCAGACAGTCAGACCGTCAGTCAGTCAGACGGTCTGACAGTCAGTCAGACGGTCAGACAGACAGTCAGACAGTCAGACAGTCAGCCAGTCAGTCAGTCAGTCTTCATTCACACTTCTCTTCCTCTGACCACAGCATCAGCAAAGATGATTACAACTTACACACACACACACACACACACACAGTGTCTCAACAACAGTGGCTCGAAGGACAGGAAGGGAAAGTTCCTTTAACAGGGAAACGCCCTGACACACACACACACACACACACACACACACTCTCTCTCTCTCTGATTCTTTCTTCAAACGTCCGACTCTGACTTCTCTCCACTGAACCACTGGAGCTGCCACACTGTAGTCATGTGACCACTGCTGCACAGAGGACACATGACCTCCACTCTGACCTCCACTCTGACCTCCACTCTGACCTCCACTCTGACCTCCAGCCTCAGGACCATGTGTGACCAGACAGACAGTACTGATGTAGTATCTGCTGTGAAGTGTGTGTGTGTGTGTGTGTGTGTGTGTGTGCAGCGGTGGACTGGAGTTTCTGTGGCGTGTTACCCAGTGTGGCCACACGGTGCAGCAGATCACTGACGTCCTCCACTGTTTTCAATGTCTTTCCATAATAAAAGTAACAGAGGAGAGAGAGAACAAAGGAAAGTCAAAACCGCTGTGTCAGCACCCGGGGGGGGGGGGGGGGGGGGGGGGGCAGTAAAGAGCTCTGCCTTTGAGCCAGCCTCTGGTTAATGCCACCAGAATAAAAGCAAAGGGTTAATGAAGCCATAGTGTGAGTTAGTGCTGGAGTTTGGACAAAGACAAAGACGTCTTCACAGACGAGAAGGTCTGATGATCCTGCAGTACCACTGATGAACCACAGAGCATTCAGCTAATGCTCAATCTGTAGGTTCTTCACCCCCCTCCTCTACCCCCCCACCCCTCCCACTGAGACTATTATAAACAATACAATTTAAATGTTTTCAAAGGAGAAATATCATTTGTGAATTCAAACCATCAACTCTTTGAGCTCTGAAACTACTGACTCACTGTCCTAGCAACATTTCCTCTAAATTGGAAATGGCAGCTGAGGCCGACGCCCACTTTCACTTCCAAAGTAGCACACGCTTCTGAGAACTCCCCCGGTTCTGACCCAGTTCTGTACCGGATCTGACCCGGTCTTGCGCCGGCCTCAACCTGAACCAGGTCAGAAACACGCCCTTGACCGAGAGATGACAAACATGTGAAGGAACGTTAACTGGAGCGGAACTTTTTCTCTGACAGAACTGACGTAAACTGACGTACTACTGCAGCCAAGTACAAAGTTGTACTGCGTCCGATTACTGAGGTTTTCTCCTCCTGAAGTTACTGAGGGAGCAGACAGAACCGGAGGTCGGTTCTGGTTCTGTCCAGACCACAGCAGGTCCTTGTTCTGCTTTAACAACCACACGTACTTTGAAGTACTGTTACTCCTCTGATCTCCTTTTCACACTGACACTTCCTACATGCATCATGTGAGTGTTAATAAAAGAGAGAACGGAGACGTGGACGTGGACGTGAGCCCATGAGCAGCGTGTCGTTCACTGCGTCAAGAGTTCAAATCTGAGGAAATCTTCAGCCTCCACCCAGGAAATATAAAAAAAAAACTTTTCTTGGTCGCGGTGGTGACACGGTGGTGACACGGTGG